TATATTAATGCAAAGTGAGGCACACAAAGTAACAGTATAAAAAGGGCACATGTCGGGAACCTTTCATTGAAATTTCCCCATAATTCCATAGAAGATAAATCTAGAAAGCATAGATATTACTCACACATTGGAAATGATTCCTTTATCTGCTATCACAAGGGGGGTTGGATGGCTGAATGGTTAGCCTGCGCGCGCTGTATCATAAAGTCTGTCATTGAGTCGACTGGCGTGGTTTCGAATCCCCGGTTGTACGTGGCAAGGAGTAGGGTCGCCTGTCCAACCTCGTGGGTTTTCTCCGGGTCCTCCGGTTTCCTCCCACTGCTAAAGACCCCTATGCGCAAGCGAATTATGTAAATAAAATTAAACCATATGTTAGTCCCGAAATTACCTAGTTTGTGTCGAGTGGACGTTAAACCCCATCTCTCTCTCTCTCTCTCTCTCTCTCTCTGCTATCACAAAATTCGAATGATCAAAGAAATTATTAAAAAATTAGACAGTTTCAAGTGTGACATGTGCCTCTCTTCCCCTGTCATCTTCAATTAGATTTTTGTTTCCATTAGTCATAGGCAAAGCTCTATATGTTTAAATTTGTTTTGAAAAATTAAGCAGAAGGCTTGTTTACTAATTTAGTTTTCAATTTTGAAAACATACAGTTGATTATATCTTATCACTATCTTTATCTAGACAAAAGACATTGTCATTCCATTAAACAAATCAACATATCAAATTCAATGAAATCAACAGTTTTTGGCCCAAATCAAAGATGTCGAAATCAGTTTTATTATTGGTGGAGAAAAACGTAATTTTATTGAGGAAATAAGCTTGTGTACGTTAGATTAATTATTTTTGCACAGATTCTTTTATAATTGGGTTACTTGTCACAGCCAGGTGTGGGCAAATAAAGAAAACAAAAAGGTAAACCTGAAGTCAAAGTAAAGTCTGCATTTTAATCTGACTGCTTGTTTTAATCCAGGAAATAAAATAAGTAGTCTAGGGGTTCAATCATATTCTTGAAGCTAAATTACAAACTTTATCAGCTTATTGTTGCTACATTGGCTTCGATAAAGTGGTGTTTCTGATTATTATATTTTATTCCTGATTTGCACAGAGGTAAGCACCAAAAAAAAACACTTTCTTCTTAATCATCCTCCACTGTACATTTTATGACTTAATACAGTCCTTTTTATATCTCAATTTTTGGGCTAATGCAGCTTGCATTAATATTAATCCCAAAAAGCTTGATTGATAACTGTTTAACAGTTACAGGATTGATAGAAGAATTGTAAAGTAAAAACACAAGAGGATGTACCAACAGTTGGACTATTTCATTAATTGACAAGAATGATTAATAAGCTCATAATTATTGTTACCATTATTTTAGGAATATTTAAGCAAATTTGGATCATAAATTCTCCAAAACTTTATTGTAGAGAACATAAGATGTACTATTCAAAATAAAAGAAAATTGAGGGGAAAAAAAAGATTTTATCCTGTGTTGGGTTGGGTCTAACTTAAGGATGATCTCTTTGAAGAAGAAAACATCTAGATATAGATTATATTTATGAAAGTTAATCTTTTAGTCTGTAGATTGTCTCCTTTTACTCAATTAAAATCTATTCATTAATTATATATGTACATAAGGTGTAGCATCTGTTCTTGATTATTGATCAGAAGCACAGGAAGTTCAAACCTGACCATTTCATTTCTGATCTGGCTTCTTAGTGAAGCAAATGTATTTGAACCAAAAAAATAAGATGAATTTGTTTTTCTGAAACTTGGATAATTCTGGCATTTGGCAACAAATATCACAGAAAAATATCACCACCATTATGAGACATTTCATGTACTGGTACATTACATAATGATGTCAATCTTACCCAGGGGAGATAACTCTTATAAGACTGAAGGGATTAATTCAGCAGACACCAATTACATTATGCAGATCAGAACAATCTGTTTGAGGACATCATCAGTGGATGGATGAAATCTCGTTGACTGGAAACAAACTGAGCTAACATTATTGATTTGGAATTGAAGGGGAAAATTCTCTTTGCTTTTCATGACATATCTATGATAAACTAAAGAAGAAAAAAAAAGCCTGTCATTAAATATTGGTGTAACCGTATGTAGAGTGTACAGGGGAACTACCATCTAAATATTTGCAATTTCAATCAATACAGTAAATCTGGATTCTTGCTGGACTTCTTCTGTTTCAAAAAACATTTCTCAATGTGACATGACCTAATGCCACAACACATCATAATCTTTGAGGAAATGTTTATTAGTTTGACTGGATTATAGTGATAGCTTACATGTATTTCTTTTGTCATGGTATGTACATGTAGATCAATTTTTCTTCTCTTTATTTTTTTTTTTCAAAATAGCAATATTAATTCATGAAGTTAGGTTCAGTCTTTGAATTGTTGAGTCATATGGTTACATGTATACAAGAAATCTTCAGCTTTTCTCAAATAGTTTACAGAAGTTAAAGTTATAATTTCTAAAGTTAGTTGGCAACCAAAATGGTGTTTGTTGACAGTATGCATAGTAGTATGAAGAAAGTATGTGAGAGGGTAGAATGCAATGAAACAGAAATTGTTGCAGTAAGTTTCTAGATGTATTTGTATAGTTAACAATTAGAGTTAAAGACTGATTAATCTCGAGATAGTATTCTGGATTGCATGAATGTTAAATTCTTCAAAGTTCAATATGTATCCTTATTCTGTTTACCTGGTTTGTGAGGAGGTTAGTGCCTGCAAGGCCCTTTTCGCACTTATGTGGACCTCCAAGGTTGACATGGAGAGTGTACCCAGTCACTTGGATAGGACAGAAAAGCGAGGTTCACTTGTGTACATGTTGGCATGCATGAACTCTGACATGCACGTAAAATACTCCCGTGAAAAAGTGTATGTGGGGGGGAGAACCACTTCCATGACAAAATTATCCCCCAATGACTGAACCAGACTGGCACTCTTTGAGTACGATTGACATGTTTGTTCTTTGGACAATTGCTCGTCTAGGGCAGGACTTCAATTTTTGAATGACGTCAAAGGCTACAGTGACATTGTCGTTTGCTGTTTCATTATAGTAAGCTCATACACACAGTTTGGTTCATTTTTCGGTCTAGAATTTTGGTTTGAATTTTGATTTTTTGTCAGGTCTGGGTGAATAATAATGATTTTAAGGGTGAATAGATGTACAGTTGGGAAATTCCCTATTAAAAAAAACCTTTCAGCTACATGTGTAGTTTCATGTGACATAAAATTAACATTGAATTCGAACACGAAACTTCCAGGTTACATACATAGCTGGGGGGAGGTGAGGGAGGGGGCAAGGGGGCGTCCAACCAATGTTATTCCGCTTTATGGGGTGCCAATACTGATATGGCTTCATCCTGGGTTAACAAGCCAATGTCTTACTCACTGAACCACCATGGCTCCCCCATCATATATTTAACTCTCCATGTTGTTTATATACAAGAAATAATGTGATAGATTGATATATCAATTTTGGACTAGTAATTAATTATATTCTACCTGTAGATAGGTATATTTAATTAGTGTTGATGTGTTTATATAATTAGTTTATACCTACCTTTCACCTGGTTCCCCTCACATGGTATACATAACAAATGTAAGTATATTGTATCACCACAATTTAATGCACTACTGAGTTGGCTTCTTTTTTTTTCTTCATTTTTACAAATATTTCATTCTTTAATTGTCATATCTAAAAAAAAAATGGTCATTACTTTGCTAAAATAAAATAGGAAATATTATATATATCTACTTAACATGTATTAAAGATATTGTAATACAGTGAATACTTAACATGTATTAAAGATATTGTAATACAGTGAATACTTAACATGTATTAAAGATATTGTAATTAACATGTATTAAAGATATTGTAATACAGTGAATACTTAACATGTATTAAAGATATTGTAATACAGTGAATACTCAGTTTGTGGCTGTTATACTGATACTCCGCACTAATATTTTCATGTGTGCATAAATCTTTGTATCTAAAGGTGGTTTTAGAGGCATTACAACCATAACTTCCATAGTTGAAGAAACATTGGCCCGAAACTATTTATTGGGTGGTTATTTCCAATAAAATTTATGTCAAATTTGGTATCTATATGGAAAGTATAGAAGCCCAATCTTACTAGAAAAAATAGTGGAATACACGAAAAAATACCCACGGGGCAAGCACAAGGCAAAAATGTCAGGGTATCACTAACTGGCAACCAGACTGTTGTCTGCCAGCTTATTGTGTGCTAGCTTGACTGAGGGAGCAGTTGTTAATTCTTGATCAAATGGTTAGGTGGTTTTGAGAACATTGTGGGGTATCAACGTACAAAATACTCTGCAATTAAACGTCGGAAAAAGAAGTTGACAGAAAATGATTAAGAATTTGCTTAGGCCTCAATATGTGAAGAATGCACAGTAATTAATGCAAAGTTTTGAGAGGGATTTCAAGTGATAGATTAATTAGTTTGAATATGTTTTTAGTCCAAAAATATCATCAAATCACACAGTTTGTTCATGGGAAAGTATTTTTAAAATATGGAGTGGTAGTTTGGACATCATTTAGATTCACCATGTTACCTTGTAACAAACAACCATAAGCCTTCACTAATTTTTTAAATACAAGTAGAATGGGAAGTGATATCAGATGTTCATCTGTTTGTCAGCTGTTTCTTTAGAGTTGTAATAGAGATGAATTGGATTGCGTAGTTAGATCAGTCTAAATTAAGGATATGATTGAAACATTGAAAGTGTGACATTATGTAATGTTCAGCTGGTGTAGGACTGAGAGTAGGACAAGATATTTGGTAATCTATTATCATAATATGCTTCAGGTACAATATATAAATATACTTGTACATGACAATAGTATTATGTCACTACTTTACAACTATTGAATGAAAGTCAATATAAATAGTAACCTCATCTCTATTTGTCAATTACCCGTATATTATTCTCATGTTTCAGGTTTAAAAGTAATAGGACCTTACAAGGGACCAGGAGTATATCAGAAGACAGTGTTTTTAATCCCGAACTTAAAGAAGCTAACCCAGAATCTTTGAAGAAAACAGCTGTATCAGAAGAAAATATCCATAAATCTACATTCCAGGTAGGCTTATATAGCTTTAACGGTATTTCATATAATTGAACCACAGAAATATATATTATATGTAGTACTTAGATATTGATTACAGACCTAGAAGTTTGTATAATAGAATTCTGTACCAGGTTAATTATACTAGTGACAGCTAGTTTTATCATGTAAATTGTTGCTGAATTCAGCTGTGTTTTTGAGATTATTTGAGTAAATGTACCAGTATTATAAACATGGAGTTTGGTAAAAAGTTATCATATTCTAATCAATGTAATGTAAGTCACAATATTTACTTGTTTAGTTCTCTTTTAAATTCTCAGATTTTTAGTTAATTTCACTAAACTGTCCACTGGGGCTTGACACTATAGATACCTTCCCTGCTTGATCAGTTAAATAAGAGAAGATGCTTAATGATAAAGTTTTCTCATAAAAAGGTCAGGCCCCGAGTTCACAAAGCTTTCTCAGGCTGAAGTTATGAATTTACTCAACTTTCAATCACTGTGTATGAGAAATATCTTGATCCAGAAACACAAAACATTGATGTATTTGATACATTAAAGCAACAAAAGTTTTATAAAGGGGCTATATTTTAGTTAAAATAAGGCAAAGAATTTTGGGTAAATTCAAGTCTTGAGATTGAGAATAACTCTTCATGAAATGTAATATGTATCTGTCTAAGAAAGTAAATAGAAATATGTTAGTAGAGGATTGGAGGATTTTCTTCACAAACAGGTAGATGTTATTGAATAAGCTTACATAATAAAGGTACAGGTAGTCACTAGTAGTATGAATTTGTTTACTGACACACGTTACAGAATTTATAATGGAGGGAGATTTGTGGAAAAAAGTTTCTGTGATGAGAAACTTTATCAATGTACATCATGTACATTGTAATTTTGTTTAATTTTCGTCAATAAATTACGGCTCTGCTACATGATATAGTTTCCCATCGTCTTGTATGTATATCATTAGATTCTATAGTTATTGCGTTTTTGTAGTGAAGTTTTATTGAAGTGTGTTCAATTATTTACTATAACACTATATCTGGCAGAAATATCTCTTTACTAGGCTAGGGTAAATATTGACTTTTCATAACAATGATACAACAAATTATTAGACTAATGGATATAGGACACATTCAGTCTTCTATCAAGTTGTTTCATTATTTTACACATCCATTAAATGAGTTTTAAAGGGATGTAACCTTGAGATAATTCAGTATCGAATTCAGACTATGAAATAAAATAACTCTTTATTGTGTAAAATTGTGTTCAAAATATACCTCTTTCAAACCTTTTTCACAAAAGATGTCATTAATGTGTAAACTTGACACCATTTCCGTGAACCATATTTGAAAATTGATATTCCTTGATCATCAGGCCTATATTCATGCACCAAAAAGTCTCTTGCTAGAATTGGCTATGAAAGGAATAACCATGAAAAATATACAAATACCATGTTTAGGCATTAACAAGTATGTGGGCACGTGGCTATTATATCTGGCAGTACCCCCTTGATCAAAGGCAAATATCAATCTTTCATTAATATCTAATGCATTACCATTTAATCACGTTGCTATTACAGGCTGAGCTGTTTGCTAAATTAAAAAGTCGTCAATCTGTGTGTTCTGATGATGATGATGCCGGTCTACCTCACAGCCCCACCCCACCCGTCACCACTGCTGATATAATAATGGGTGGTGGCCTTAAGGTTAGTTTGTTAGTGTCGTACTTGAGGTTATAGAAGAAGTCATGTTTAGAAAGGCTGAATAAATCAACAACAAGCTGGAGCATTGATTTTTATTATCCAACTATATAAAAGAAATGTGACAATATAAAGTTTGTACATAATGTGGACAAATACTTAGGCTGGTTTTGGCACACAGTGATAGACAAGTTAAATTTGAAGGCTATTGTGTTACATGTTAAATGGATGTCTAACACTGGTGTATGGAAAGAACAAGTATGTAATTTATTCCAGTTATCTAAACTTATCTCTTGTTCCTGGTTCGCTAGTTTAGTTCTCTCATTGCATTAAGCAGACAACATCAACTGGATGGAATTTGGCAGACATCATTATACTGTTTATTTAAATGTTTGATGTTATTTGATTGCAGCCTCTGCCAGTGTCCGGTAAATCAATGAGTCGAGAGAGTGAAACCAGTTTAATAAGTGAAGATGGCTCCGACAATGACGAGGTTAGCGATTGGAATTTTTCCTTCTTGTCTTGTCTTGTTTTAATCTAGTGATGCCCTATACTTGTAGACATTATGGAGACATGTCTGAGCCTTTATTAGATTGTCCCAATATTCAACAGTTTATAACATGATCTAAAGTTTAATTAAAGACATTATCCCTTGATTTGGTGCTTTTTCGTAAAGGTCTATGATCTAACTTATTAATTAGGGCATAAATTGATCTTCCTTATTTCAAAACTACATTTAAAAAAAACATTGTTTACTCTTTATTTGGGTAAATATATGTTTCTTTTTTATCAGATGTTATAATGCATAGTATATAATATATATGCACTGGATTGATAAACATATAAGTATATAAGCCACACCCTGTCATTTACTGATAATGTTGGGTTATGTATCTTAATCAGTAAAGTAGATTACCTATGATTGCTGTTGTTGTCATGGAAACATGGTGTTAATGTTACACAATATGTCCCTTTTAGAAAGTGGCATTACCATGTTACTAGATAAAAGATTGATTTTAATGACAAGCCCAATGTATTATTATTTCACTGGAAGATTTTATCAGTTCAGCGATTCAGATGATACAATTTTGCTTAGATCTTTAAAAGGCCACATCTCCATGGAAACCATCTTTGATTTTATTGGCATCAAAAAAATGAGAAAAAGCTGTCAATCAAGAGAAGTGAAGAATATATAGCTTTTTGATGTAGAATAACCTAGATACTACTATAACCTTTAATACAATACCTAACGCTTCAGTAAAATAAAAGGATTATAACTACTAGTCTAATTCTTTGTTAGATTCCATCAGGGAATAGATTAAAATGGTATATAAGATATTAGTGACAGCATCATCTCAGAAATACAAGAGATTGACATTTATCTGTCTGTTCTCTGAAGGAGTGATAAAAGTTGTAGTTGTTAGCACACTTACCGAGGTGTATCGGTGAATATCAGGACAGTTTTGGTCGAGGGGCCCAGCCGAGGCGGCTCCCAACCCAAAATGTCCTGATATTCACCGATACACCGAGGAAAGGTGCTAATAAGTTACTGACATCACATTTCTGTCGAGTATTGTGAAGCAAAATGTGAAAAATAGTATTTATTTTTGAGTCGTTTCAACCGAAAAGTGACAAATACTTTCTGCTCTTTCATTATTTATCCCTTTCTGAGCCTCACGTTACATTTCATGGTAGAATGATTTTGCAGTGAAGAGACGACCTGAGTAGTATTTACACGTGCGTCTTGCTATGATACTCTGAGCGTAAAACAATCACGTGTTTGTTTAGACCACATCGTCAAAACAACTTGTCTATGGCGTAGAGGACTGCGATATTATTAAATGTAGTGTAAAGGAAATGCGAAACGTGGGTCATTCCTGGTGAAAGTATGCATCGGCGGATGGTTCTTCCGTTGAAATTTATTTGTAATAAAGTTTATGACTTTCTAGGCGGTTTTTTTTTCATCCTGCTTATTTTCAATGCCTGTGAAGTGTCCAGCAAAAGAACTGCGCCTTCTATCATCACAATTAATTAAAATAATTATTCAAAATTCTAATTTATATATTTTGCATATTAATATAAATCAAACCAAATTATGAAATAGATGCCAATTGATATGTATAATAATTGATTTTTGTAATATGTTAATTTAATGTCATTGTATATGTTTTTGAACTGCCATGTAGTTCCCCCCATTTTGTTTTGTTACTATGATTTTGACTAGTTGTTTCATGTACATTGTATAAAGCCATCGTTATCAATTGCGATCTGGGTCGGACTAAACGTACGCTACTTATTGCTTGATAGGTATCTAAAACGGTATAAAAGTATCCGTGTACCAGAAATGAACAGTACTCTTTCTGTACATTTCTGATACACAGATACTTTTATGCATGTATTGCAAATAAACAGGACAGTTTTGTCAAATGTTGCCAGTGGCAACGAGTGGGATGTAATTGTAATTAAATTCCCTCATTTTTTATTTGTCAACATTTTGTGTGGTAGTATATTGTTGTCACCACTTTATGTTCATCAGTCCACCCATAACACTTACTTTATACAGGTCAAACTTTTCAAGATTTATTTATGAAACTCACTGGGATTGTTTAACTACCTGTAGTTCTACAGAAATAATGTGTCATGTGACGTTTTTTCGCTGGGTTTACTGCCCATGTTATTGCTGCTTTGTTATGTATGAGATTTTATTCATAAACTTGCTAGTGCTAAGGAGGAACCTTAAACTGGAATTGGGTGATCGAGTAGTATAGTAGTGTGTGCACTTTACGTCATAAGGTCTGTCATTGACATGGTTTTGATCCCAAACTTGTACTTGACAAAAGAATTAGGGTCATCTGCCAAATCTCACAGATTTTCCCACTGCTAAAGACCCCTATGCACTAGCAACTTATTGAAATAAAATTTCAGTCCTGATACATCCTAGTTTGTATACATCATTTCTCTCTGTCTCGGAGGATCATGTGGGTAAGAAGCTGGCTCGCTAGCCTGGAGGTCGGGTGTTCGATCCCTGCATTGGCCGTGAAAGTTCACCCAGATTTTCCAGCATGGTTTCCCCTTGTCAGTGATGCAGGATGGAGGGCCTGACAAGGACAGCTGTCTAGTCGTTCGAATGGTACGAAAAACTGAAGTCCCATTTACACATTGGCGTGCACGTAAAAGATCCCTTGGCAGTTGGAATTCGATATAAGAGTAGGCCGTAGCGCCGCTGCCCGGGCAAAATTTCCCTCATAGTACACTGTATGGCGTATGCCCGTCTTCATTAGCCCAGGTTAGGAGCAGAACAGTAGGACTAGTCATACGTTTCCCTATTAATTATTGTTTAGTATTTGTTGGGTACAGCTCATGGATTTTTATCATAGGAAATATTTAACAATTTAGCCATTGAGATAAAGTAATTTTCAAAAACAAACAGATAAGAAAAATATTATTTTCAAAGAATTCAAATTTCTGGAAAACTGAAAATGCATTTCCAAAAAAATTATAATTAATAATTGTATCGAATAATAATTGTGAAATGAGCATTTGATGTGACAACAATAATAGGCTGTTTTATTAGTCTACAGACATATACTACCCGTCACTGTTTTTATAACCTAAAATTTCGGGAGGATTTACAAAAGCTGACAAAAAAAAACTTTTTGAGAACTAATGCCACCAATTGGTTATATAAAATTTGGCAGACCCAGAACCTTTGTTTGGTTTTGGAGTTGACTTAGCCAAAGCAGCAGCATTTATTCATGCTGCTCTGACAATTCTATTAAATGATAAAACTTTGTTAACTTTTATTAACTTGAGTATAAATGTGAATTTAACAACCAACTATTTTTAAGGAGGATGCCTTTGACCGAGAATGGAAAAGTTCTGTTGCCGCTGTTACAAGTTCTAAAGTAATAAAATCTCCTGCTAAAGGTATGTATAAACGAGATTGTGGTAGTCCAAAATTTCCAATTTTTTGACTAAACCTTTTCTATATGCCCACGGCCCACATTGAAATGTGGTAGTATAATGTTGTCACCCTGTCCGGCGTCTGCAGTGGCTTGTGAACATTCTAGAGATGACTTTATCATCCAGCATTGTTTATGTTCATGAGATTAAGAAATCTATTGATTTTCAATAATTTCTGATAATTACTATTTTGGCAACTGACAACTGGCATGTTGACTGACACAAAGTACAATGTATAGATGTGAAAGTTACGGTGATTAGACTTATGTCAGTTTACATTCCTTCACTTTTTTCTTCTCTGAAAAACCTTACATTATATATTCACTGTCACTAGATAAGAGAAAAAGAAAAAGTCTGTGCATTACCATGTTTTTATTAAGTATAGAATGAATAAAAACAAGGGAATGTACGGGCCTTTTCTATTTTCCTCGTTTTCTCTTGTGAATTGTCAGATATCCTCTTCACAGTCATATATAAAAAAATTTCATCTTCAATTGAACTACCAGTGAGCTGAAATTCTACCGTGTATCTGTTATTGCTTGTTCCTTCAGTCAGTGATATGTAAGGATAATTTGTGTTTTCCATTTTTTGCGTCATTTCCCGTTTCTTAAAATCTTTGTTATGCATCTACTGTAGCAATGATCTGTGTATTAAAGCTATATTTGGAATGTGTTTAACCAGTTCTATCACATATGCGATAATGACTGAGACCAATATTGTCCTTCAAGTGAATTACTAAATATTGTACCATATGTTAGTCCCGTTAAACCCATTTCTCTTTATATATATAAAGATGGTTATTAAAATAAAATACGTTAAGTTAAACTTAATTTAAAATGTGGACTTGTAAATCGATACAAGGAACAATATACAGCTGTTACACAATGTGTCTAAATGGATATAACCATTTTAAAATTATCTTCATAGAAAAGAATGAATATATATCGTAAAATATAAATATGTGTAGATCAATTAGTTATTTGATAATGTGATAGATGGTCGTAATTGACACTGATTAAATAAAAAAAAAACAACATTATGATATATACAAGCTTTATTAAAAAATATTTCTGGGGTTTGATTGAATATCTTCAGTAAATGTTGTTTCAAGTGTTAGAAAAAATACTTGAATATGATTTGTCATACCTGGATTTCTGGAAGTCTTGAATATTTCAAAAAAGGCATTTATAGCTTTTGTTAGAATTGGTCTGTAACCCAGATAGACTATAGTTCCTCACAAACAAACATTACAAGGTTACTGCATATTACTGCAGATTCTATATCATCTACCTTTTTAGATTGAAAACAGTTTGACAAATGAACCTCAAATTTCCCTCACTAACTGATATTAACATTTACATGAAAATATAAACACATTCTTTAAATACCCCGGACACGAACCTCCTTAGTAAAATGGCTTCTTTAATCCAACCCACAAAAATGAACTATATATTGAGGGATTTTCATAAGGGTTCGTTCATTCCTGGAGCCGAATGGTTAGCACGTGCACGCTGTATCATGAGGCCTGTCATTGAGTTAACTGGCGTGGTTTCGAATCCCCGGTTGTACGTGGCAAGGAGTAGGGTTGCCTCGTGGGGTTGCTCCTGGTCCTCCGGTTCCTCCCGTTGGTAAAGACCCCTACGCGCAAACAAATTATTGAAATAAAATTAAACCATATGTTAGTCCCGAAATGACCTAGTCTGTGTCGAGTGGACGTTAAACCCCATTTCTCTCTCTCTCTCTCTCTCTCTCTCTCTCTCTCTCTCATTCCTGGAGTTTTACCAAGGGTGATAGCGTAGACGATTCATAAGGGTTGAACAGCCTTATAGACTTGTGTTTGATATCTGGTTGGTTGATCTTAATCTGTTGTATATACAGTATTAAATGTTAGTTTAAACTTATTGATATGAAATCTTGCCAGTTATAGATAAACCCTGTCATCAAAGATGTAATTGATACAATGAAAGGTCTAGTTAGAAACTATTTGATTTAGTTCTTCGTTTAATCTCTATTTCACATACAATTGGCATTATCCCAAATAACCCACTTTCTTCATTGTAGTATAAAAATCATGTTCAGTTAAAAAGATCTTATTGAACTTTATACATAAATACAGTGTATATTTAAGTAAACATTAAATCAACTTGTCGTTTAAAGGATTCTGAATTCAATTACAAAATTAGATATTATCTATAAAATTCAAATGACGATCATGGACTTTAGGAATTTTTATACAAACCCATTTTCATGTGGATGTATATTGTTGTCGCCCCTGTCCATTAGAATTTTTATCCAATTTTGATAAAACTTAAAATATATGTTTATATCCCAAAGATCTGGGATCCATTGAATATTTGCGCTAATCGGGCCCTAACTTCCTGGATTATGGCCCCTTATTGTACCAAAAATCGCTTTTCTGTTTAGCTTGCTCGCTGTCCGTCTCTTGCAAAATGTGAGGGTATGTTGCATGACAACCACTTGTTAATTACATACATAACACAATTATACATTGTGAGATAATGTTCAAATTTATAAATTCTACATGCGACCTGTTGGATCAGTCAATCTCTTCGCATGATTGGTCAGTCACTATAATTGTGTAGGAAAATATAACTGTATGTAGAAGTAACTGTTTGAATGTGTGGGTTTGTGGCATATAAAGATTCTGACATCTGTATTTGACAGTCTGTGGATGGTATGCCAATGTTATATGCAGACCATGGTGTATATTGTAATGGTGGCATAATGAACTGTGTGTATGCTAAACACAACTCGATTCAAATTATTGTTTATATAGTGATGCCTTTTCTCCTTAGAATATTTTCTAACAGTACATAAACCTGTACAAACAGAATTTGATGTTAACAGCAATAATCTGCTGCTAGGATGATTCTAGATTTCCTTATTCTACCGAATCAGATGCAATAATATAATGAGATTAACGTTTAAATCGACATTTTACTTGGGTTATTCTGGAATATGTCATAGTTACAGTAAATGTATCATTCCTGTAGCTCTAATCACATCACAAGTCAGAGCCACAATAGCTTCCTGAATATAGCACCAACTTAATAACCAGCTCGCTTTCCCCTATTCAGCAATAGACAAAAGAAATATATGGATGTAATTACTTCTCTGTTATTTAATAACGAAGTTTCGTAACACGATCCCGGTAATATTTTTGAGTTAATTATAAATGTCTTTTTATTAGCTTACACCAAGCTGGTTAACTGTAACTATTATAAAAGTCATAATAGAAAAATAATACTAGCAAAACTTACATAGTCAAAGATTATTAGCTATATGCTGCAACAAACTATAATATTTACAATTAACCAACTTACCTATATTATTATTAAATAACAGAGAAGTATTTATTATATCCATATATACCTTATGTTTGTTGTCAAGAATATTTAATTCTACTTTAGAGGTCATTTAAACAAGGTTGGTCTGGAAAACCCCATTTCAAGTTATATATTATATTAGCAACTCACAGGTCATTTTGAAGTGTATTCGAAGATTATGATTAAATATAATGGAAATAATGCTCATAGCTACATGCATCGGACACATCCTTAAACACAACTGTATTTATTTTACTACCGGTATTACTTCATATTAATCTTTCATTATTTCCACCTACTGTCAAGATTTTGGTTTCATATCAGTTGGACTCCAGTGGACCTTGTTTTTTTTTTTGTCCCATCCAAACAACTAGACAAGCTTTCATTGTTTAATCGTCAACTGAGCTTGAAAAGTTGAGAAGATGAAGATACTGCTTGCCCTTGATTTAAACTGGTGACATTTTAGCCATCAACTACTGGGCCTCCAACAAGATGCAACAATAACTGTATTAATCTTTCAACTGTTATTAGGGGGGTTGGATGGCTGAATGGTTAGCGTGCGCGCGCTGTATCATACAGTCTGTCATTGAGTCGACTGGCGTGGTTTCGAATCCCCGGTTGTACGTGGCAAGGAGTAGGGTCGCCTGTCCAACCTTGTGGGTTTTCTCCGGGTCCTCCGGTTTCCTCCCACTGCTAAAGACCCCTACGCGCAAGCGAATTATGTAAATAAAATTAAACCATATGTTAGTCCCGAAATGATCTAGTTTGTGTCGAGTGGACGTTAAACCCCATTTCTCTCTCTCTCTCTCTCAACTGTTATTATATATCATTTTATGATTTCTTTCTTTACAGAGAGAAACAGTTTAGATTTTAGTTCTGTACAAACTACGGAGGTATTAAGTAATAAGGTATCTCGAGATAAGTTAAACATCAGTAAAAACCGACGATCAAGAGCACCTTCACGTAAGAAGAAGGAGGTAAATGTATGTATATCTTTATTAAATAAATTCCACGTTCTGCATGAGATAGATGTTTGTGGGTTGGTAGATTTTTGTTTTATTTACATTCTAACTTCATTAAAGGATTCCCCAGAGTTTGGCCCTCTGTATTTATCTGAGTATGTAAATTCTTACTGGACATCAACCACTTGATTCTGATGTTGTTATCTATAATAGGCCTACATATATATTAGGTTACGTTGGTACGCTTCAGTTCATTGACAGTATAACACATGATAGTGGCTTCAATAATATTTGTAAATTTTCAAAAAGCTTCGCTAGAAGTTTCTCAAAAGATATAATATTTTTGGCATTTTGAATATGATTTCAAATCAATGGTTATGTATTTAGGATGCGATTGATGGGGAAATGTATCTTTAAAAACAATCACCATGTCTTAGTATATTTTGTCATAAATCTTAACTTACTTGTTAAATTTATTTCATTTAGTTTTAGAATCTTTATTTTTGTCTTCATATAATTAAAGATACATTATGTAAGATTTACATAAAGAGCTAGACATTCTTGCTATAATAGTTTGAAAATAGATAATGTAAAATTAATAATTTGAAAATTTCATTCAAATTACATTATTGAGAGCGAAGATATTAGACTTTGAAGGTTTGACAAGACATGTGCATTAATTGCAGCCACCGTACTGGTTGTTTGAAGCTAAATGTCGCTCCTCCATCGAAATATGGCTGAACTGTTCTAATCTATTTAAATTTGGAGACATCTGATGGCATCGAAAGTTGATTATGGACTGGATACGTTAATTAATGTCTAATTAATCATTTAGATAACATTTCAGACCTAAAGAAAGACCTATAATAGGCAGATTTAGCTCTTGCATAATGTATGTTTAACAATAGCATTGAGATATTATTACTAACATTCTAATGAATACTAAAACCATTAAATACGGAAGAGAATTGGAACATTTTTTGGAAATGCAACTTTCAAAATATTCAAAATTTTTCAAATGACAGTCATCAATATATTCCTGATTTTGTTGAACGTTCTTGTGATAATCAAAGTTAAAGGGACAGAATTTTATTATTTTCACATTAGCTTCTCTCACTACACTTATTCACATGATTTTATTGTATACATGTAGATGTAAACTTGTATATCTATAAATAGAACAGTCATTTCAGTTTTGTATAACATATTGTAATAACAAATTGGGTGTGGTTTATTTATATTTTATTGGTAAATAGTTATTTAATGGTGCACTATATAAGATTTAGATAATGAACTGTCCGTTATTGCTATAATTATTTAAAAATAGGTAATGAAAATTGAACATTGAGAATTTCAAATTAATTAATTCTGAGCAAAGTTATGAATGTTTAAAGTTTAGATGAAAATAACGTAGACTCCATTGTCATTGCTCTGATTAAATGGTATGGATTGTCAAATCCACCATATGGTAGTCTCCAGTTTGTCAGATGTTGCATTCCTGATTTAAACTGCATTACAACTATTTGTGTTTGTTAAAACATGGTTCCTCATTATTTACTAATGGAAGTGTCTTGTTCATCAAATGTTAAACTGGTGATACTTATTCATCAAAATCTAGATTCATGTTCAATTCTGCTTATCAATTCCCTTTCAAATTATGCATTCCTAGAAAATGTATCTCTTATACATTGGAGATATGATCTGATATAATCAGTGAATACACAGAATATCGATTGTTATCTTTTCCTACTCTTATCCTATATAGATTGGGCTGTGGTGCCATAGTATTAGATCCTCTATAAGAATGTCCCTTGATATTCAGGAGATTTCAAATCCAGTTTTTAATGAAACTGACAATCAGAAAAATACTGCATGTCTTTGCTGACAGTTCTGTACATGCTACAAGATGTAGGTAGATGCCCTAACATATGAACTGTATTGAGCTTCTATCATGTGGTTTTATTAATTATGAAACAAAAGAGTTTTCCTGATTTAGTGGCTAAGACCATAGATTGTTTTGGCTACTAATTGTTTGAATATGAAATATGAACTAATTTTCTGATTATTTTTTTTACAGGATAAATCAGCTAAAACTCTTCCAGGAGTAAAAGAAGAATCTCCAACAAAGACACAAACACAAAGTATATTCTCAGAAGGTAAGTCCAGTAACAGTTGACAATATTATTTATGTGTCTTTTAAAAATATTCTTATTGTTGAATCAGGGCTTACTTTGGGGAAATGTACCCCAACCCTCCTTGATCCTTTGGACTGGCTTTCAAAATCAATAAACTCAAATGACTTTGTCTCTATGTGACCAGGCATCCAGCTCATAACATAGATCAGGAATAACTTGATTCAATAAAAAATCTTAGTGTTCCAGCTGATAAGAACAAGTATTTTGTGGCCAACTATCAACCCTGTGTCTAATTCAAGTAGGAAGTCAGACTGTTGGCAGAGGTTTGCTTCCAAACAAAGTTTTTATACATACGTCTAAGACTAATTTTATTTGGCTTAGCCTCTATGGTTCTGTTTCCAATTTAAAATTCCCTTTGCATTTCTGGATGATGGCTTCTCTGTCTGTCCATATAAAATGGGATATCTAGAAAATGGACATACTGTTATAAAAAGAGAAAGTATAAATATTTATCAGTTCATCTATCTTTTCAGAAACACCAAGCATCAGCCAGTTATCATCATCTCTTCCAACAAATCTATCAGATGATAAACCCAAAGCAAAAATATCACAAGCAACTTCTACCAAAGTTATTGCAGCTCAAACTTCACAAAATAAGACAGTTGAGCTAGGACTTAATAAAGACAGTGAAAGTGCAAATAAAAGTGAGGTTATTTTGAGATCTGCATCTACTAAATCAGATACAGATGCTCCTAGTGAAAAACATAATGAGCTATCGCAAGCTTTTGGTAAACTTAAAAAGCCATCAAGCACGGACAATGAAGCCAGTGCTAAAAGTGAACAAAAGACAGTTGAACTTCAGCCAAAAGAACTGAAATTAGAAAATACGGAAAATAAAACCAAACCTGAAGAAAAAATTGAAATCAATGTACAGAGTGTTGATAAGTCGGAAGAGAATAAGCAAAATGAAGATCCGACAAAGAAAAGTGTCATTAGTTTACGACCCACTGATTCTAAAGACTCGGTTAGTTCTTCTCCCAAAGAGGAATATCGACTTAAGCGACAGAATCGTAGTAAAACGCTGCCAGTGGCATCCGATGCTGTTAAAGAAGCAGTTAAAGATGAACAAACCACAGTTAAAGTACAGAGGGCCAATTCTCAACGTGTGGATGCTGAGAGTTCTCCTAGGGGTGAGGTCACAAAGAGGCAATCAGTGATATTACCTCTCACCTCAACTACGAAACAGATTGAAACTAAACGACTCTCGTGGGTAGAAGAGTCTCATAAATCATCTGGCGAACCAGATTGGTTAGCCAACTTGAAGAAAAAGAAGTCGGTCAAAGATGAAACATCTCCGACGGAAGAAGTCAAGACAGTTGTACCTGAAAAAGTAGAAGTGAAGAAAGCCGAGAGTCCAGTTAAGCCTCTTACATATGTGAAAACATCTTCTGTGGTTAACGGCAAATCTACAACTAAACCAACAGAGACAAAACCCTTGGAGACGTCTAGCGATAAAACTGAAACAGACAGTAAAAAGACGACACTGTCTGCTACTACAGATCCCAAAACTACATCTTTTGGTGGTAGTAAAGTTTCTAGTATCAATACGCAACATGCTAAAATAAATACCAGCAACACTAAAGTGGAAACTAAAGTAGTAACTTCCTCTATTTCAAGTACAACACCCAGTGCTGCAAAGTCATCTATAGCAGATCGAATAAGTAGCTTAAAAGGTACGCCTGCAAGTGAAACACCAAAATCTGCACCAGAAAAAAATGTGACAACTAAACCAGTAGCAGAAAAAAGTGTCACACCAAAACCAGAACCAGAAAAAAGTGTTACACCAAAGCCAGAACCAGAAAAAAGTGTAGCACTAAAGCCAACATCAGAAAAGAATGGAACAACACCAGTGTCAACTAAACCCATGTCTACAATAGCTTCCCGTTTTACTCCTACTGTGTCTTCTATATCCACAGCTTCCAAATTTACTCCTTCAGTACCTTCCACAAAATCAGCAGTCAGTCGAACAATTAGTATTCCCACTTCAAGTAAAGCTGCAGATATAACCAGTAATACCAAACCAGTCATCAGTCAGACTGGCGCAAAACCTCAAACGGTCAGTCAAATTAAACCAGTATCCACAGCTACATCTAAAATGACATCTGCTACTACTAAAAATGGATCAACAACAGCAAAAGAAACAAGTACATCGGCAACACCAACTTCTGATGTTCCAAACTGGAGAAGAAATTTGGGTCAGAAAAAGTCAGAATCAAGTAGCACTGTTGCTCCAGTATCAAATTTCGCACCAGTGAAAATAGAGTTGATAGAAAATTCTGCTCCATCAACTAAACCAGAGAAGAAAGTAGAAATTAAGGTTAGTGTTTGGAGGGTATTTAAACTTGTTTGCTGATTGTCATTTATTAAATCTATATTTGATGTTAAGAACCCCCGAAGCAGAAACTTATGTAATATTCCGCCACCCTCCAGGATTATTTTTTATGTTGATCTTGTTGACCGATATGATCAACCATATATAAGTTATTGAGCTACTTCAAAGCATAGCATAATAGCATATCTTACAAGTACTTAGTGTTGATTCCATAGCCAGCCGGTCTAAATCAGTCGGCATCCAATTCTAAAAGCTAGGTAATTATTATTTGTTTATAAAGCCGGACCCATTATTTAATGCCATGTTACAGAGAAATTATGCAGACCTGACAAACAACTAATAATAACTGCAGGAGGACCACTCCATACATAATTAAAATCCTTAAAACAAAGGCGCTGACATACAATATACACAGACATCGCAAGCAATATATATCAGATCAAGAAATTCCAAAGTCACATTCAGGGGAGATAACCTAGCATTTAATTTCTGTTTTTAGATTGAAATAATTAGACCGTTGTATTTTATATTTTATCATCATAAATTTAATACATATAAATTAAATTGTTGGGATTTTTTTTATCTACAGAATTCAGGTTCAACAGAGAGTGAACTGGCAGCTGAAAAATGGTCAGATAATGCCAACAATAGAAAATCCAAGGTCTTGGATATGGTGAAAAACTTTCAAAAACTAGAAGTCACATGAATGTAATTCTTGTAGCCAAAATGTGGACAGTGTTAGTTTAAACTATGTGGATTACTTGAATGTGGGATTCTCTTAGTTTGTTATTTTATCAAATATTTTAGAATTAAATTATATTTTAATTGATGATTTAATCTAAATATGAAGTAATCATCCATCTGTTTTAACAATACAGTATTTAAAAAAAACAACAAAAAAAACGATTCAATTTATATGCACTAATGTACTTATCTGAAATTATTCGTTTATATGAATGTACACAAATTAATTTGGTTTAAAAACACTTGTTTAACCTTCAAACAATGTTAAAGACAATACCGTACTATTACAACTCTTCTAAAATATGTATATCGTTGACTCTTCTCTGTTCATATCCACCAGATGCTAGAACTATTTGAAATTTAGCTGCTTGTATTTTGTTTTCATATTTACTGCATTCAAAGTGGATATTTACATAGAATATTAGGCCAGGCATTGTTATAATTTAAATCAGTAAATTTATAAACTAGATTAAGATATAGACAGTCATATTGTCTTCCTTATATATATTCTACCTATATTTAATACCTTATATATCAATTTAGTGTTTAATCATAGTTCAATGGTAGATGTCATATATAGTGCAATTGTAGTTGACTGACTAAAATCCTTGGTTAAAAAGAATTACGTTCATTTTAATTATTGAACATGGATACAGTAATTTATTGTTGCTTTATATAGAATCATTCAGTGGGTCTGTTTAATAATCTGTTAATCCACATCATGGTAAATATGAGTTATATGTTTAATATGTTGTATCATATCATATTTAAAAATTCTCATTTTTATATTCCCACATTGAAATGTGGTTGTATATTGTCGTCATGTCCTGAGTTATAGCCCTTGATCGACTATCTGAAGGCTAAAATTGTCATCCGATTGACTTGGGAGTTTATAAACAAACTGAAACTGCTAAAGTTATCACCTAATTACCGGTACTGGTAAATATTTTGTATGATAAAGAAGTAGAAGCCAACTGAGCTACAGTGGGCATGTTTGTGGCCTGGCAACCTTTCTTATTTACCTTCAATTGACAATCTTGAATAAAGCTGTTAACATTTGATATTATTTTCAATTATTCAAACTTTAAACATTTTTTTCTGGGGTTAAAGTGTTTGTGGATTATAAGGTTAATACAGACTCATGATGTGTAATTAGAATATTTATTTACTATATAACAATAGATATATTACATACTTATTATAATCACATTCCTTTGTTGTTATTATACATTTCTGTTTATTTCTGTGTGTATATCATTATATCTAGGTAGATTTAGTTATTGTTAAGTTAAAACAATTGCTCAATGTTGTTCACAGTAACTTAGACTAGCATGTAACTATCTAGCTGTATTCTTATCTATATCTATATATATATATATATATATTATATTTTAAAGAGTATATGTCTACACTGTTATTATCTGTTATCAATCATTTGTAGTCTTTTTTTATTTAATTCTCAAATACATTTAACATTCCATTGAAAATAACGAATAGCAAGAAGTGCATAAGAATTGATTCACATGGCATAAGTCCATTCAGCCTAACAACTACTCCATTGACATTCCAGAAACATTAAACATACTTATTTTATGTTTAAGATAAATTGTATTTTGTCTGTAAAATGTCAACATGCAGCGATTGTGAAGGCAGTGGCTGAGGAAATATATATAGATGATAACTTTCAAATTATTTGAGAATTTGAATGCTTAATATGATTGGACATATTTCTCAAGATAGATAAAACAATGATAGGCTAGCTACGTTTCTTTAAAAAACATTTCTTAACAGTATTTTATCATTCTTATATTAAATAAGCATAGCCAGGTTTTGTGTTCTCTAACTTATAATTTCATACTTTGTGGGGAGAATGTAGTCAATCTTGATTTATTAATATATTTCATTGAATTTATTTCTATGATGTTAAATATTGTTATGTGCAATTACTAAACTAAGTTAATCAACAACAGATTATCATCAGAAAAATTCATTTGTGATAACTGTATAAAGTAGAATTCAGAGTGTTTTAATTAATGAATAAATATTTAAAGTAGTGCAATATAAATAAAATACATCTAATTTCTTTTTGTTAAATATTAGTTAATTCTTGCTTTTCTTTTAAATTTAACATAGCAGAAATAGTTAATACGTGCTTCCATTTGTAATTTAATAAGCTTATACAAGTAGTAATTTAGTAACTATCAGAATGTGTTCAACTGTATAAATAAAGAAATTAACAAGTTTACATGTAATTTGTGTTTTGGGTTGCTTCTTAACACTTTAACCAAGTTTAGTTTATATGTATAATTCAGCATTATATGATTATTTATTTTAGTTATTTAGGAAGTTAAAATATTCAATACTAATGATGTTAACTGTATTATTAACTGGAGATTTTTATGCTAGAAAATATACCGCAGCTATTTCTTATGTTTGGGAAGGATGTCTAAAATTATTTATTAAATTAGGTTTTTACTTCGTGGTGCTAGCATCATACAGGGTTTAATCACTGCTTGCGATCTCTTATTTCTTCTTGTGGACAGTTAGTTTGTGATCAGAATCAGCTATTCATGGTCGCAAGTTTTTGTTGGAACTACAGGGTTGTCTTAGCACTGTCTGTATTGACAAACTGGTACTTAAAATTTATTTTAGCGTTTTAGAAATTGAAAAATATTGTTTATCTTGAAACATTAACCTGTCCATTTCATGAAGATTAATTATGGGTGTAATCAGTTCATTGTAAAGGATATTTTTATCAGATTTATTTTCCCTTCTGTAACTGTCTGAATATTTGATTGTTTTTAGTTAATTCTGTGCTTTCAGTATTGTTATAGTTAGTATTTTGTTAGTTCCTGTTGTTATTTTATTTACTATATATATATATATATGTCTTATTTCTATGTGTGTATATTATAGAAACTCTGTATATAAACTTCTGTATATATATCCATGTTAATTATTATCTGTTTTCTGTTGTAAATATTTCATTATGTATATGTTTGTAATCATTGGTATGGAATAGTTGCTTATTTAACTTGATCCGTTAACTGTGAACGCTGTGTGCAAGATTCTAAATCTGAAATAATTGCAACTCAAAATACAGATTAAAGTTTAGTTTTTTGGCTACTACTTTTGTATAGGCATTCTGGTAGTTAAATTGAAAATGTGATTATTTTTATATTTTTAAGGAATGATGTCTAATGTAAATTTATGTCTTGAGCGTGCCTTCGTGGAATGAATTTCTATTTTAAGAACATAGATGCATGCTGATGAACAGAATGAAAGATTTATTTTTGTATTGGGGATCAGATTTTCTGGATTTGTTTTAAGTTTCTTGAAATAATTAGAAGAGAGATATGGTGGCCATATTTGACATTTGTTTTTAATCTGGACCAAAATAAATGTTTCCCTGTCCGCATACATACATTGTGGGCAACATAAAATGTTTTTGATAACTTTATGTAACCTTAATTATTGTTAAACCCTTATTTTAATTTGTATGTGCTTTTATTTGTAACATTCCATACATGTTTTCTTGTTAATGTATTGTTGCCTTCTATACACATGTAAATCCAATAATATTAATATTCATCATTAAAATTGTCATTCATGAAAAAATGTCTTGATTTATATTGTTTTTTCTTCAAAAACAAATCGATCATTTTACAAGTGGACAGGCAAGGAATCGATCATTACAAGTCCATCCGTCTTCAATTACAAGTGGACAGGCAAGGAATGTAGAAAAAATATTTTGGAAAACTGGTAGCATCGGATTGCATTTTTTTTTATACGCCCACATTTTATGTGGGCGTATATTGTCGTTGCTCCTGTCCATCCGTCTTCAATTTGCTTGTGGACACTCCACAGGTCACAATTCTTATCCGATTTTGACAAAACTTGAAATATAGGTTTATCTCCAAAAGATCTTGGTTCCTTTCGATATTGGCATGTATCTGATCGAAACTTCATGGATTATGGCCCCTGATTGTACAAAAACTCATGTTTTTAGCATTTGGTCACTCTAGAGATCACAGTTTTCATCCGATTTTGATGAAACTTGAAATGCATGTTTATAACCCAAAGATCTTGGTTAATGTCGATATTTGGGCATATCAGATCGTAACTTCCTGAATTATGACCCCTGATTGTACAAAAAATCACGTTTTTAGCTTGTGGTCCGGCTAGAGGTCACATTTATTATCTGATTTAATAAAACGTTGAATATATCACCCTTACACCATTACAGTCATTACCCCAGTTGGTGCAGAACAGTAGAAAGTTAAAACTTCATTTCTTCTATTTATAGCAATTCTCTTGGTCTATCACCGTTTGGTCTATAATTAAAGAAGAGTCTTTTAAATTATATTTTCGTTCAGGTTTTGGTAAATATGCATGATTTGATGCAGAAGGATCAGGAATTAATGATAAACAGACAAGAATTATGGAAATTGCCTACTAAAATGACATAACTGCCAATAGATTCATTTGACCCCCCAAGCAAAATGTCAAAATAATCAAGCCCCTTCAATATTTTTATCAGATGATTATGACATGCTGGACTGTTTGGGGTTCTAAAGATAAAGAAAGATCATTGGAGCATTCAAGAAAATGTTATAGGCCAAGAAATGTCATGGATTTAACATTGAAGTCAATTGAAACAGATTATTTCCCCATAACATAATATATATACATTTTATATTATGACTGTAAATTTGTGTCAATGTTGTTATCACTCTGATCTAGGTATCAAAATGCAACTGAAAGACCTTGCCCCTTGGTCCAAATCTCTATGTAACATGGCAGAAATATAATTCTTGGCACTGAAAGTTCAGTAGTTCTATTGGGACCAGAAATAAGCCTGTATTCAGATGCTGATGGACAGTCACTAGAAATCCTTAGCAGTAGGAATTCAATGTTTTCTAGGAAAAATTCTGCCCAAACTAGACAATGGTAAGAAATCTAGCATAAGCAAGCATTATGAAATGATGAAATTATCAACAAAAATAATAAAGATCTGAAAAGTTTGCTGTAGCCTTTTATTGAAGTTGTAACAGGGAGATAACTCTTTAATATGAAGAGAAAAGTGATTTTATATAATTTGATAATATAATTTTAATGCAGGTTGGTAGAATAAATAGCAATGCATCAGATTGGAAGTGTGTTGAGTATATATAATCTCAAATACAAAAATAATCATTCTTTAAATTTATAGGCTACAAGTTGGGAACATATAATGGGTATATCACAAACACAACAATATTAAATTTATGTCACAGATAATTGACTAGAACTCTATGCTTAAGATCTTCTAACCATGATGTACATATTACTGTTATACAAGAAATTAATATGCTAAATCATGTGATCTATCACCAGTCACATTAATTTAAATACATTTCTGTAACTAACAAACTTAATCCACCAAATCAAATATAGCACCCTTGAAAACCATAAAATAAAATAATCATCTATTATGGCTGTGTTCACATTGAGATATTGTGTGGCAAATAATCCATATTCTTAATGTGAAAACTTAGATTGACATTTAAACACTTTGATAAATTGTAGACTTATTTCCCACACTATATTAATATGTTACCAATGTGAACACAATCAGGGAATTAATATACCACTATGAAATTTCATTCTCACATTAGCTTCTTTAAACTGTTGAAAAAATCATCAAGACATTGGTTTAAGTATTTACTGTTATTTTGTTTGTAACGCGAAAAAAAAGTTTGGGTACATGTGTGTGATTGTGAACACAGTCTTATATAAACATACAATTTGTATCCATCCCTCAAGGTCCCATTAATTTTATGAAGCATAATAATTTCTTGTCATACCAAACTTACCATTACAAGAATATCAAGGGGTTTTTTTTACCCAAAATAAGATAGGTTACATTACTTGTATAAACCTATCAATATAATTGGAAGTCGATCACATAAAGAATTCAATAAAGGCAAAAGATACAAAAATACTTATAGGTATATAAACATACATCGTACATATATCTTAACAAAGAATTATATATATATATATTTACTATAAACAAGTACCCTAATATCCATTATAGAAGGAGTACCCAAGATATAAAAATAGCAACTGTTTCATCTTTAATGCATAAATTTATCACATAATTTGACTTTTTAAAATATTCAGATCCGTATTCCAAAATACCATTTAACCATTGAAGCAAATAAATAATTCTTCTATACATATTACATGTATATAACTGAATAAATCATGTTTTTACATTATATAGGTAAATTAAATATTGTTTTCATATTATATAAATACATCAAATATTGTTTTCATATTATATAAATACACGAAGTCTTCTATTCACATTATATAAATCAAGTCTTCCATTCAAATTATATAAATACATGAAGTCTTCTACTCATGTTATATAAATAAATCAAGTCTTCTATTCATATTATATCAAATACATTAAGTCTTCTATTCAAATTATATAATTACATTAAGTCTTCTATTCATATTATATCAAATACATTAAGTCTTCTATTCACATTATATAAATACATGAAGTTTTCTATTCATATTATATAAATACATTAAGTCTTCTATTCATATTATATAATTAAGTGGGGGAGATCAGGTTTTGGTCATCAACCAAACTTGTTAAACATAACCAAAAACATTACTATATCACTGGGCAAACTGTAAACATGTTGAAGTTATCAGACTCTGAACAAAATATATTGTTGCTAGCTGCATATGGTAAAATTATATGTAAACATATACATGGTTTTATGTAAAGATCCCACCTGCCCTCTGCACTAACCCTCAGAGTGAAAGTTACTCATGTGATTCTGGCTTCTCTGTCCCTAGTCAAGTCATATATATATAACAACTTAGTTATTTTGACAATATAATCTTTTTTGACTGGCTAAGCACTAAAAGCAATCTAATATTATCCAATCAAAGTACTAAAATTTGGATGTTATCTTAGTTAAAATTACGTGAAACAGGCCCCAGATCACCATTGGAGGAATTTTGAAAAGTTTAGAAATCACTGAAAGGAATACCAGTTCAAAAATGGTTGAATTTCATTTCAGTATTTAGAAACAAGTGTATAAGTGTTGGGTATATCTTTTCATGAACCCATTTTAATCTGATTGAATCCAAGTACATAGTTTATATATCTTTAACATTTTGATTTTTTAATTAGATGTCAAATAATCAATTTGAGTACATTTTAAAAGGCATGGAAGATTAGATATTGTCCGAAAGTTGTTAATGACCATAAGTAGCTTTAATTAATATCTCTGTCTTTTTGTCATTAAGGATTACATTCAAACAGGTAAAAATATCAAACATTTCTACAACTCATGAACAAAAATTATTACACCAGTTGAAATTGTCATTTCAGCCATAAATACTCACAAAAGTCATATAATATATTGAACACACTATAGGCCTTCAGTTTTTTATTTCAAGTTATTTTAATATGATATTATTCTTGTTGTTCAGCACACAAATCACATCTCTGGAGTCCATTTTCATCACACTGCATACAACGTAAGGCACAAAATTCTTCGGTAAAATGATTTCTATGAACTGATTTTTTACTACCATGACATATAAGGCAGGGAACATATCTGTAGCCACCACATTTAACACAATTAGATGTTACAACCACTTTCTGAAAAATACAATATCAAGTATAAATATACATGATGATATTAAATTAAGGAGGGGGAGGATAGATGGCCGAATAGTTAACGCCTGTGCGCTGTATCATAAGGTCTGTCATTGAGTCAAGTGGCGTGGTTTTGATATCCCCCGGTTGTACGTGACAAGGAGCAGGGTCACCTGTTCAACCTTATGGGTTTTCTCTGGGTTCTTCGGTTTCCTCCCACTGCTGAAGACCCCTACTCACAAGCAACTCATTGAAATAAAATAAAAATTGAACCCAATGTTAGTCCCAGACTGACCTAGTTTGTATTCAGATTTCTGTAAATAGTGAATATATTGCATCAAGATATTTTCCTTTATCTGTTCATTTTTGAATATTAGTTCATGTCACTCAATTATCATTATTAATTTCAATTAGGAGACAAATTCAGTTAGTTTTAATTGACATTGGATAATGAATACCAAAATTCAGCTTGAATAGTGCTTCCTGTAAACCAACTGAATCAATTAATCAAATATTTGTCTGAGCACTATAAATTAAAGTATAATTAATTTTTCTTACTTCATAAAAACTGTAATAATAATAACAACGAAGGGTTTGGGCACAAAGAAACTTTATTGATGCAAGGGAGATACAACAAAGTCCCAAAGTGTCCAAACTTTAAATAGACATATACAGTGCCGAGTTGCGGAGAGGGGTATAAGTATCTCTGGTAACAATTACTGGCCCAGTCACCTTGAATGTGGATCAGATCCGCGGGGATTGAAAGGTGAAAGAGGCCCCACCCCAACGAAAACTGTGTCCTGCATAGTCTGAAGGGTTGATACCCACCAAGGCGAGGGTGTGGCAGAGTTTGTTGGCAAAGATGGAGTATGTGAGTGGTTTAAGCACCCCTTGGCATAGTCAAAAGTTTGTGATGTATGAAGCTAAATTTACAATTTAAGTGGAAAATAAACATGTTTCAATGAATCTAGTTGGTTTCGATTTACAGAAATAAAAATCACGAAAAACATTCAGCAAGTTTCAGCAAGATATCTGGTGTTGTCAAGGTAATCAGCCATTATTATATAACATATGGTCAACACAGACTATTATCAAAATCAAACTTTCTTTCACAGAGGTTACAAAGTTGAAATTCTTGTAAACAAAAATGGAGGAAATGGTATCAAATATCTAAGTTCAATATTGGTTTCCCGTTGTTAATGACTGTTGATGACAGTTTTCGATTAACACTTGTGGAAGGACCTAACAATATAGGTAACCTATCAATAAGGACAGTGTATAAGCACAAACCATCACACTCTCTATCAGAGTTGGTCTTGATACTATTTAATTTAGAAAAACAAATGATGGGAAGGACCACGTATTGCCGTTACTAGTTATCTTTGATGTGGATAAATTTGTCCAGGATAGCGTACCGCCTAGTGGACTTGTCTTAAGATAACATTTACTAAGGGGACATTTTGTATTTGTCCAGGGTAAAACTTTGTCCAGTTCAAGTTAAGTAGTGTACATGTACTTGTCTTAGATAACATGGCCACTATAAACAATAGTTCTGGTGCCAACAAACTCTATACAATCATTAGATTACATGATTCAAGATGTACCCAATTAAAAAAAACTTGACTTGTCCAGCATGTTATACGCCCACCAACAGCAAAGTTGTCCATACTTAATCTTAAAACTGTCAACAAATGACAGAACAAGTTTTAAAATATATATCACAAAAGGTCTACTAAGCTTTAAAAGTAAAATTGTGAACAGAAAATATTGAGGAAAAATGTTTTTGAAATTTATGATCATAAAATCTGGATATTCTATAGGGTTCTTCCTTTATGCCACAATACAATGAAACTAAATGAAATGGGTTTTAATGTTCTACTTTTTAACATCAACTGGGATAATGAAGACATGGCTATGTGGTAAATTTTGTCCGTACAGTGGTTACAATGGTGCTACGGCCTACCTACAATTATTTTCAATTGCAACTGTTAAGGGATCTTTTATGTGGACGCCAACATGTACATAGGACTGTGGGTTTTTGTCCCATCCAAACGACGAGGCGCTGTTCTTGTGAGGCCCTCCATCCTGCACCACTGACAAGGGGAAACCACATTGGAACTTTCCTGACCAACACCATCATGACATATAGTGATATTAAAACAAGATGGGTTTTTTTTAAGAAGTTCTACTTACTGGATATTCTGAGAAAATATTTCGTAGTTCTCCAGATTCATTTAATCGTTCTAATTCTTCAGCTCCCTGAGTGAAAAACAACAATCATCTTTATAATATTACATGATAAACAAAACGAACATTCAATATAAACATCACTGTAAATATTACATATATATAGTTGTTATTCAAGATAAACTTTGTCTTAGGGTGGGTGGTGGTATTTTTATTTCAGTAAAAAAACCTACTCAAATCTTTAGCCCGATCCAAACAACTAGATTCGACCTGCTAAACCATGCAGGAGTACTGCTTACAAGGCCGACGAGGAAAGTTCATCTTGAGGATAGAAGGAATCAAAATAGAATCAACACTCTGTTTTAATTTGTATTAATGTCCTGTATAAAACATTATTCTATTAAGGCCTCCAAAATAATCATATATTAATTCTTAAATAATTAAAGCATCTGTTGACTTTTTGTGTGTGTGCGGGGGGGGGGGGGGGGGGGGGGGGAGGGGCACAGTGCCAATGTTGGCATCCTTGCTTCCACATGTCTGTGAAACAGGGAAATTGTGTTGTCATTCAGATGGGACAGAAAAAGGAGGTCACATGTACACATTGGCTTGCATGTACACCAACCCAGATATATGAAGAAAAGTAACTGGGCAAAATTTCCCTCATAGCACTCTGTATGGCCTCCTCCTACCTTCATTAGCCAAGTTTAAACGACATTCCATTTCAGTTCTTGGAATATATGAAATGATAAAATCCACATTAATATGTTGACAAGCTATTAATGTCATAACTGTATTATTATAAAGTTTATTATGATATATTAACCAGTTAGACAGTATTTCACATAATAACCACCTCAGGCGCAGTAAATTTGTTCATAAAAAGTCAGCCATTATTACAAAAAAAATGAAACCCCCAAAATTGTATTTCTTTACTTCTATTGCATTCTTGTTTTATGCTTAAAGGGGATATAGCACTAATCTTTACAACCTTAAAATAGATGAAAATGGTTCTAAAAGCAAGAGAGAGAGAGAGGAATGGGGTTTAATGTCCCCTCGACACAAACTAGGTCACATCGGGACTAACATACATGTACGGTTCAACTTTATCTCAATTCCCTTCGCCTAGGGGTCGTTATAGCAGTGGGAGGAAACCGGAGAAAACACAGCCTACTCCTTGTCACGTACAACCGGGGAATCAAAACCATGTCAATTGACTCAATGACAGACCTTATTATACTGCACACACATATGCTAACCATTTGCCATCCCCCCCACCCACCTAAAACCCTGGGTCTAAAAGCACACATTAATGTAATATATTAAGTCATTTATATCCAGCTTTTAGTAATTTCTAATCAATTATATTGGATGAAATACTTGAACAGTCCATTTGACACATATTTATTTTTATTATTTTGTTGTTTTGTCTTGTGGGATATGTTGTATACTGATTTTAATGTTCATTGTGTTTTAAATATTGGATATTAGGATCCCATATTTCCACGGTAAGATGACATCAATATTAATTGAAATGGATCAATATTGAATTTGAATTCTAATTTGTGTTTTTAATTTCAAATATTATGGTAAATAATGAGTTAAAAGTTTAGCTCCTTTAAGCATGTAGAATTATTGAATTATATGAGGGAAAGGTATTATAATTCTTATAAATATGTACTAGTGAGTGCTTAGCTGGGCGTTTCTCATATCAAATACACTATTTGATTTCTAAATGTTATTTACAGTACATCTAAGGGGAGTTGGATGGCCGAATGGTTAGTGCGCGTTGTATCATAAGGTCTGTCGCGTGGTTTTGATTCTCCGGTTGTACGTGACAAACAGTAGATTTTCGTGGATTTTCTCTGGGACCTCTGGTTTCCTCCCACTGTTAAAGACCCCTACGCACAAGCGAATTATTGAAATAAAAGTGAACCATATGTAAGTCTCTCTCTATTTACATCTAAATTACATGGAGAAAAAGCATTTTATTCAAGTTTTCGAAAGAAAATATTTTTATAAAATTTGGCTTTACGAGCTAAATTTCAAACATTTCCAAAATTACAATCCTTTTCCACATTGATATAAGAGGAATGTTATTTTTTTCCCCCGTATGCAAACAAAATGAAACAATCCAGATTTCTTTGTAATAATGACACACACTTAAGATACTGGCAACAGATTCAGTTGGAGATTTTATATCAAAGAAACCAATTGCCTGACTAACGATATATTTCAATTATTCAAGGCATCAGCTGGAAATGTATAAATAGAATGATATAAATTATTTACCCCTAGTAGTATTCCATCAGCGAAAACTTGTGGAACACGAATACCGTTTGTGTTCAATCTTTCCTGAAGTTCTCGTTGATTATCTTTACTCATGTACAGATCCTTTTCCTCGTAACGGACCATGTTTGTTTGTAGAATATTTCGCACAATTTTACATTTCTCGTGAGTTTCTCTAACCACTGACATACTAGTTGTATATATGACTATTCTATCTTTCTCTAACAAACAGTAATTTCTCTGTAAAGATCAATACAATAAAAACATCAATTAAACTAGAATATCATATCAATAGAGTGGGGTGATTATCTTGTGTGGAATTCAGATTTATATGTTGACTTATCTCTATTATATGTAAAGTACATATGTTCAACTGTATCCATACACCAGCCTGGAAATAAGATACTTGTCCCAGACAACGTCAAAGTTAAATTCAGGTTGTATCAGGTACAGTTACTCTCTAGGTAGTATTGAGTAAATCGTCCCACCTCTAGTACCTGTCATTTTGTCCTGCACAGATTTGTCTATTTATGGTGATTCAATGATATCTTTAATACTGGTTTAAAATATCAGGGACTATTCGATTAGGTGTCTGACAGGTACCACAAAAAGCAGTCTTTCTAACTTGTACATACAGCTTTTTTTACCTGGTATTAGGTTTCTCACTGTAAATCATACCTAACGTTATATCTGTAATCATTGTACCACAGCGATTACCATGGTAATTGTAATCATTGTACCAAACATGGGATCATTGTACCACAGGACTACTATGGTAGCTATGATCATTATACAACAGGATTACCATGGTAACATCTTTATGAATTATGAAATTTGATCATGAGATATTTAATGGTTATATTTATGTACAAAATAATTTATGTTACAGTTAGCTAATCACAAATTTAAAATTAACAAACATGATGCTCTTAATAAAGTATGTTCTAGCAAATGTGATTTATACAATGATAATATTAACTGTAATTACCACTTGTCATCAAATATAAATAATACACAAATATAAATAGGATGTTTGACAACATTAACATGCTCATGTTGTAGATCTCGTATAAAAATTTATAAAAACATAAACTGAGTAATACATAAAACAAGTCAATCAGGAATTAAAATATGCGAGAACACGTTATATACCAAAATAAAGATGTAACAGACAAGAGTTTTTTATTATAATATTCATATGACATGCTGTTTTCTTTACTATGTGAAAGTATTTCTGTGTTTAGAATAAAAAATAAATGATTATCACTTGTTTAGTGGTGTAGCCAGGATTTACCACAGAGTGGTCGCAGTCCACATGCAAATCTCACTTTTTCAAATTAATGTCATCTGGAGGTGACATGTGCTTTAATCAAGTCTAGTACAAATTTCATCCATAGAATCGTTACCAAGCTTTTATACTTTGCTCTTAGAGTATTTTATTGTTGCATATTAGGATACATGGATTATACTAAATAGTTGGTTGTCATGAGGCAGGGTATGACTATAGTTATACTTTCATTCAGATTTTTTCATAGATTTATGTGCAGTAATCAATTAGATTGGTTTTATATTTTATTATTTGAAATAAAAACAGGTCATGCATCTCTTTTGAAGTGACACCAGAATATTATTTCAATATGGCCTTATAATGTATCTAACCACACCTTAAAATTTGACATATACATGTATATATATATATATATGTGTATAGATCATCTTGGTTTGTACAGAAAGGTAGTATGTTAAAACCCTATTTCATAGATCCATATAATAGAGAGTTGAGTATTTTAATCTTCTTTCTAATTGTTATCCTTTTCCATTATATCAACATGATAGTACATAATCCAAAATACATTAAATTGAATTAAAACTTCTTCAATGTTACAAGAAGAAAAATGGGAGTTGTAGGAGATCCGGGGTTTGATCCTAGGGTTGGTTGAGAAAGTTCCCTGGTATTTTCCAGCACGTTTTCCCCTTGTCTGTTGGTGCAGGCGGGAGTACCTGACAACGACAGTGTCTAGTCGTTCTATTGGGACGAAAAATTGAGGTCCTGTGTACTTGTAATAGAACCATTGACAAGTGGAATTTGAAATAAGAACAGACCGTAGCGCCACTGTCCGGGCAAAATTTACAGAATAGAACACGTATGTTGTACACAAGTCTTCATTAGCCCAGTTTCATACAAAACAAATATTCAATTCTTTAAATTATATCTATAAGAGGGGCTCACAATCCAAAATTTTGATAGCCAGTCAACTTATGGGTTTGGGGATTTTTTTTGTTTATGCAAGATTGGATCAAACCAGAAATTCTAGTTTCAATTTAGATATCAATTTTTTAATTCTGTGACAGATATATTACACAGTCTGTCATCAACTTTATTTTCAGTCATTTTGGACTGAAATATACAATAAAAAGGACCCTATAACAATTTTTCCAATAAGCAGTTTTACTGATAAACCTAAATACATTTATAAGTCATAGTATCATCGCATATTTCGGGAAAGGAAAAAAGTGAAAACACAATACTTCAGACTAACATATGGTTTATTGTTTTTCTATGGTGGTATGTATATTGCTAGGGAAGGACAGTTTTCTCCAACAGCAGGGTTTCCACCTAGACCCTTCATCAAATTCTGTCAAGTGGTTTTTGTGGATACACAATTGTATACAGCTAGATGGACCTTGGTTTTTTTTTTGTGGCTAGCCCAATTACTGATAGTCCCAGTCCCAGCATTTTTTTAGGACTACTACAGTAAATTAATATGTTACGAATATTAATACATATTTATCAGAAATTATTGTATTATAGTTCTAGTAGATTGGTATAATATCTAAATGGGTTACAGTGAGATATGATTTCAATCAGTAATTTAAAACTTGTTGCATGTGTATATATGTTTATTATCAGTACCGGTAAATAAAATATCTATATATTATTGTACATCTATATAAAGTGAAATATGTATATGTACATCTATATTAAACATACATTATGCAAGAGCTAAATCTGCCTATTACAAGTCATTCTTTAGGTTTCAGATGTTATAGAAATTATCAATTAAACCCTTATTTACATGACAAGCTCAAAATCAACTCTGTAGACCCTCGGATGGCTTGGATACAGCTTGGATTTAAACAGTCGTCCATTTAAAATTAAGAAAGGCCTACAAAGCGAGGGTACCATAGCCATTGAGAATGTTACTTGATAATCAAGAATATGTGGGTGGAGTTATCGTCTATCAATCAAATGATCGACAATTCTCATATTGCCTATTTCTAGTCCAAACTTCCAACAGTAACACCTCCGTTCAGAATAAAGTAATTGGACTGAAATTTTCAATATTTTCTTTTGTTATCATCTATTTTTGAATTATTATAGCAAGAATGGCCAACTCTTTATTAAACTCTTAACTAATCCATCTTTTAAGTGAAATATGTATACCTGTAGATACATTTACATCTATATTAAGTGAAATATGTACATCTATATTAAGTGAAATATGTACATCTATATCATGTGAAATACGTACATCTATATTAAGTGAAATATGTACATCTATATTAAGTGTAATACATACATCTATATTAAGTGAAATATGTACATCTATATCATGTGAAATACATACATCTATATTAAGTGAAATATGTACATCTATATTAAGTGTAATACGTACATCTATATTAAGTGAAATATGTACATCTAGATCATGTGAAATACGTACATCTATATTAAGTGAAATATGTACATCTATATTAAGTGAAATACGTATATACATGTAAATCTATATTAAGTGAAATACGTACATGTATATTAAGTGAAATATGTATATACATCTATATTAAGTGAAAAAGTACATACATCTACATGTATATTAAAGTAGCTAAGTCTCTAACTAAGTATCATCCCGAATCTTCGACATTGAAAACACGAATAATTTATCAATTTAAATCAACGTTGATGTTGTGATCTTACCGGGAAAAGATGGGCTTCAGATATCCAATATTTAAGATAAAATAAACGTTTTACCATTGGTACACGAATCGTGTACCATAATGAGTTTCAGCACCATTCGTAACAAGGGACTCGAAGAACGGGGCTAGACATATTCCACAAGTCATGTCAAACAGTGACACCATCGGTGTAGACTGGAATAACCAGACGTTTGAGACTTCTGGCGTATTTCGCTAAACATAACTGATTTGAAATTAGAGTAAAAACAGAAACGATTGAATGTAAATCAGTATATATACATTCATATTACATTATTATATGCGCTGCGACCCATTTGTGTCAGTTTCTAGGTCCCAAATATTAGCGATTTAGCTCCTTTAAGTGAAATACAGTAGATAAATGTGCACATTAGGATACATCTATTGTTACATCTATATTAACTATAAACAGTGTACATCCATCTATATAAAACTTACCAACACATCCTCACCAATACTACCTGTCTAGAAAATAATTCATATAATTAGGGTTTCAAATAAAATGAAATTAAAGTTCACGGAAGAGAAAACTTGGTGCAAATAAAATTTTCTAAAGTCTAAACTGCACTGAGGCCACAGTTTCTCATATCTTTTTAATCCCCGATTAGAATCAATTTCGTTTCAAAGATGATGACATATTAGGATTATCAATCTATAAATCAATTTTAAAGATACATTATGGGAGATTAGATAACGAGTTGGTAGTTCTCACTATGTTAAAATCTAGACAATGTAAAGGCAATTTGCTGAAAATTTCATTCAAATTGATCCACATACATGAACAGAGAATTAAGCAATTGAAATTTCTGCCTAGCTTCGATCATCATTACTAAAGTCAGTACAATAAACAGCATCGTCTTGATTATCCATTTAATTGTTAAATCGTGAAGGAAAGTTATGCAGTAAATCGGCTCATAATCCACTAGAGATCAGGGGCGGATTGGGCCATCGGGCCATCGGGCGATCGGGCCATCGCCCGAAGGGCTGGTCGGACAAAAAATGAAAAAAATAATTTTGTCCAATTCGTCTAAAAAACCTTTTTCTGCTGAACATTATATGGGAGGGGAGGGGGGTATTGGACCGGCCATGGAGTGATGATGATCATGTTGTATGTGGCCGATGGCTTTAACGGGCCGCCACGGAATCACTGGAGTCTGGAATTGGCTGGTATAATAGACTTTATGGACCGGGTGGGATTCACCCGACACTGTCGCCAGCAAATTTACTAATTATTAAGTCATCTGCAC